GCCGCGCGCCCCGGCGCCGGCGCCGGCCGGCGCCGCCGCGCCGCTCAGCCGCTCGAGCGCCGCCAGCGCAGCCACTTGCAGGTCTGAGATCAGCTCCAGCGCGGCGGCGCCCACGCTCGCGCCGCCGTCGGTCGTCGTGCGCAGGGCGCCGGGCCCGCCGGGCGCCGCGCCCTGCGTCTGGCGGCGGCTGGCGCCAAACGCGCCCTGCTGCTGCTCCAGGGTCGTCTGCCAGTCGCCGATGCAGGCGGCGCCGTCGATTCCCTCGACACCCTCTGGCCGGCCCTGGCAATCCAAATGACGAGGCTGTCCGGTCTGGAGCTGCTGCTGATCAGCGCCGGGAAGCTGGCGGAAGCTGCTGTCCGGGCAGCTGACGGCGTCGTTTGTATGGTCTTGGAAGGCGAGGTGGCGGTGGTTGTGGTGCGCTGAGTCGTCCTCGTCATCATCTGGGAGCTCGCTGCACTCCAATTGTAGGGGGTGCGCCAGCGGCTCCGCGCGCGCAGGCGACAGCGGCAGTGGGACAACCGCGGCGGCGGCGGCGGCGGCGGACGTATCCGAGTACGCGGGGGCGGGCGTGTCGGCGACAGCATGGCGGCCGCCGCCGCGGGTGAAGCTGCTGTGCACAGATAGCGAAGCGCGGGTGCTGGGGGTAGGCCCCGCCTCTGGTGCTGCCAGCAGCGCGGCCGCTGCCTTCTGTGCATCCGTCAGCCACGGGCGCCCCGCCCCCGCCGCCGCCCCGGCCTCGCCCGCACCGCCCGTCTGCCGCCGCCCCGCCGCGGCGGCGGCGAGGTCGCCGGCGGCGGCCGCCAGGCAGCTGCCCGTCGAGCTCCGGCCGGCCTGGGCGACGAGCAGCGCGGTGGCGCGCCGCGAGGCCAGGGGGGTGACGTGGCCGGAGGGCGTGGTTACAAAGCCCTTTGCCCTCGAGGGCCGGGCCTCAGCAGGGGGCGGCGGCGCAAACGGCTCCGCCGCGGCCGCGCCCGGCCCCGCATCCGCGTCCGCAGGCACGAGCGCCTCGGAGCCCGCCGCCGCCGGCCGGCGGTGCGGGCGGCCGGCCCCTGCGTCCTGCTGCAGGGCCGCGACCGCGGCGCGCAGCTCGTCGGGGCCGTCGGCCGCGCGGATGCGGTCGAGCTGCGCCTGCACGCCCTCGGCCCAGCACGCGTCGTCGTACTGAGCCGCGACCTGCGGGGTGTGTGCAGAGTCCACACCAGGGCGCATTTTGGTTTTGTGGACGCGCGTCGCGTCGCGTCGCACAGGCGACGTGCTTGATGCTGACACAGCGTGGGCAGGCTCCAGGAGGTCAAGGGGGCGGAGCCCGGCGCCCAGGGACGCACGTGCGGCATGTGCGGACAAGCGCCCGTGTGCGAAGCGCGCGCGCGCGTTTGCACCAAAGCTGCCCAAGCGGCAGCGACAATCTCCATACCAGCTGTGCGGTTTTGGTGAACGCAGTCGACCAAGTTTCTGCATTCGAAGTCACCAGGAAATTCCCCCTTGCCGAAGCTGCCAGCAAAGCGTGGTTTGACGCAGCGGCGTTGCCCCCCCACCTGCTCCTGGCATCGCGCCAATGCACTGAGCACCGCCTCAGTCTCGCAGCGCCCCTCTTCCAGCAGCGCCCACACGGACCCCCGCAGCGCCGACACCGCCACCAGCTCGCCGCCGCACGCGGGGGCCGCGCCGCCAGCCTGGGGTCATGGGGGTCGTGCCAGGCCGAGGGCGGCGGCGCGCGTTTGCGGGCTGCCGCGCGCGGGTGGGGTGCCACACAGCACGCTGGGGGCCGAGCGCTCCCTGCTGGCTCACCCCCACGATGCGGCATCAGCAACGCGGTTCACAGGCTTCAGCAGGTAAAGGGCCACAGCGGAAGAGATCCAATCAGCCCAAGAAGCCCCACCCGCACGCCCACCTCAATATTGCCCCACCCAGGGGCCAGGCAACCGACAGCCCGGTCCTCGCCGCCGCCGCCGCCGCCCCCGCCGCCATCACGCCCGCACACGCCGGCGTCGGGGCCGGCGCGCGCGGCCCTCAACACCTGCAGCTCCGCGCGCGCGTCCTGCAGCCGCTGCTGCAGCTGCACGCACTGCGCCGCGAGCTGCAGCGCCGCGGCCTGCGCGCTGCCCTTCGCCAGCAGCCGCTCGCGCACCAGCAGAGCCTGCAGGTGGAAGCACTCCCACGCCAGGGTGCGGTTGTCGCAGAATAGGTGCCACGCGGCCGCCACGTCAACCAACGGGCCGGCGCCGGCGCCAGCGGCGGCGGGAGGGGCCTCCGCCACCTCCGCCCCTTCTCCTGGGTCGTTGCTCGCTGTCTTCTGGGCGGCGCCGCGCTCACTCCGCTCGCTTGCGGTGTTGTCGCGCGCGCCGGCGGCGCCGCCGCCGCCGGAAACGCGCGGCGGCGGGGCCGAGCGGCTGCGGGCCGTGGCGGGCTGTGCTGCGGGCAAGTCCGCGCCGCGTGCAGCCTCGCACGAACCCAGGAAACGGCGCGCGACGGGCGCTCCAGGTGCGCAGGCGTCGCAAGCAGTGGCCGTGATTGACGCGCTGCCCGCCAGCGGGGATGGTGCTTGGCCCTTGAAGACAGGGCTGGGTCGGCTGTGCGGCTCAGGGCTGGACCCCTCCCCGTGCTGCTGCACCTTTGGCTCTTGGTTCTGCTGCAGCTGCTGCTCTTGCGGCTGCTCATGCTGCTGCTGTTCGCAATGCTGCTCAGTATGCTGCGGCTCGAGCTGCAGCTGCTGCTGCTGCTGAGCCTGCTCCTCTTGCTCAGCCGACTGGTTATCCTGCTGCTGCTGCAGCTGCTGCTGCTGCTGCTGCTGCTGCTGCTGCTGCTGCTGCCGCTCTTGCTGCTGATGCTGCTCCTGCTCCTTCTCCTGCTGCTCCGCCTGCTGTTTGGTTTGCTCCTCCTCCTGCTGCTGCTGCTGCTGCTGCTGCGGCTGCTGCCCAAGCTGCTGCAGCTGCGGCTGCAGCGGTTGCTGCAGCAGCAGGTGGTGCTCGAGCTCCTGCGTCCCCTCGTCGTCCTCATACGGCTGCAGCTCCTCCAACGCACCCAGCTCAAGCAACGGCAGCGGCGGGCGCCGATAGCTCACAGCGCCAATCGCGCCGCCGCCGCCAAGCCCCTCGGCTGAGGCCGCCGCGGCGCCCGCGCCGGCGCGGGCGCGGCCGAGCAGCACGCCCCGCAGCTCCCGCAACTCTGCCTCGAGCGCCGCCGCGCGCGCCTCGGCCGCGCCGCGCAGCGCCGCCTGCTCCGCCGCGGCCGCCTCCGCGGCGC